GCGAGAGAGCGAGCACGAGCGCATGCCTTGCCTTTGCCAGCTCTTCTCCAATCCCCCCTCGGGTGCTCTGGGGACAGCTGACAGAGGGCGGCCTGGCATACCTGGGCTCACACAGGAAGGCTGTGTTTTCGCCATCTGCTCTCCACACCAGCCACTCCCTGAAGGACGGGTGGCAGAACATGCGGGTCCTGTCTCGCCGCTTGATGAGGAAGCAGGAGAGGGCCTCCATCCTCTGCTGGAAGTCCTCCCAGGTCTGCTCCCCCTGCACCTGGCCCGCGTTGATGGCCTGGAACAGCTGCTCGTCCGTCATGGGGTGCAGGGAGGCGAGGGCCACGTTGAGGATGGGCAGGGCTCTCTCGAAGGCGGCCTGGGTCATGAACTTCATGTTGCACTGCAGCAAGTACAGCTCAGACAGCGACACCGGCACAACCTTATAGCTGGCACTTTTAATGACCAGGTGTCCCCTCTGGAAGAGGTCCAAGGTGAGCTTCAGGTATAGGTAGGAGCCAAGGCTCCGCAGCACCAGGTGGCTGCTCACTTTGCCAATGAGCGCTGCGTCGGCCTTGCCGTTCAGGGAGATGTTACTGAGAATGTCTGGGCTGCTCTGGACCCGGTGCTGGACGTAGGCTTGCAGGTCATTGTGGATGTCTTTGTTGTCCAGGAAGTCATCTAAGGAAATCTTGATGAACGGCAGTGCACTTACAATTTCCTACAAAAACACCCAGAACCCACAGCATCAGTCCCACAGAGAACCCCCACCCCCAAGACAGGAGCAGCATTTCAAACCAGATTCACTAGTTTTCTTTCAAGGGGGATTTTTCGCGGATTACAGGGACTCATTGTTTTCTATTATAACATGTAATAGGATAAGTTGGAAGATAAAGAGCTCATGTGGACGAAACCCTGATAAGAGACGGAATCAGCACAGGCTTTCCTCAGTCCTCATCCAAGCACTCACAGTCGAGCTGGAGGGTCAATGGCTGCCTGTCAGTACCAGCTCCAAGCCAGCAAGACCCTGCCCTGCCTGTGATCAGTGCCCGTGACCCTTCCACTGAGTGGCTGGTGATATAAAATAAGGACCAACACAGCCGATGCCATACAGCTAAGAGCAGGGTCCAATGCGAAGAGACTGGGGACCCAGAATCTGAAACCAGCCCCAGGCTAATCCCAACTACAATCCTGCTGCCCTTTGGAACTTCCACTAGCATTTCCTTTAAAGCAAATCTTTAAACTGAATATAAGCTGCATGCCCATCACCCAACCCACTGTGATCAAGTTGACTGCAACTCATAGGGACCCTATGTAGGTTTCTCAAGGCCTTAAATCTTTAAGGGGGCAGATAGCTTTAACTTTGTCCTGAGGAGCAACTAGTGGGTTTGAACCATCAACCTTGAAGCTATCAGTTGAAGGCTTATCTAGCAGTGCCACCAGGCCTCCTAAGAAATATACCGAGGCACATGAACCATTAAGTGTGCAGCCACTGATCTTCACAAACGCACATACCTACATAACCAGCCATCAGAAACAAGTGGGCAGTTCTCCCAAATCCTTTGCGTCCCCTTCCATTTCCAGTCTCTACCTACTCTAAACCCCCAACAGCTGGTCTAAGTGTAGTTCTGTTTGTTTTCAAACCGCCATTATCCTTTCTGAAGTGTATGAGACACGCCCTCAGTTAATGCAACAACTGCGGGAAATAGGCCGAGTACAACTGCTCCCATTTTACAGATGATGACTGAGCTGCTTGAACGTAACGCAGCGATTACATAGAGCTCTGAAGCTCTTGTTCTAATGCTCTATCGGCTTTCATATTCTTCTTACTGTGTAAAAAAAAATTTACCTCGTGACGCATGAATAAAATAGCCATTAAAAATAAGCATCCTATTCACCTGAGCTCTAATGCTATTCTTAATGAGGGAGAAAAAAGATCCAATAGCTATTTTAAATGAGTAACATCACAAGAGGGTCAAAACTAAAATTCAATGTCTCCTTAATGGCTTTACTTAGAAGACCTGTTGGCATCGTACACTGCAATTAGGGCTGTTCACCACAAGGTCAGCGGTTCAAACCCACCAGGTGCTCCGGGGGAGAAAGACGAGGTTCTCTGCTCCTGTAAAGAGTTGCAAACCTCAGAAATTCAAAGGGGGCAGGCTCGGCGTCGTAATCCACACAATGGCAGTGAGTTGAATTGAGTTACATGCCTTTCCCAGAAAAGGCGAGGGGTAGAAGGAAGACGTCCGGTGGCTGATGTTAAGGCTCAAATGGCAGGGGACAGAGGTGGTGGGAGGTAGAGAGGTGGAAGAAAAGAATCACTCTCCACAGAGCTGCAAATGTTACCCCATGCTGCCACCAGGACGAAAACAGACCTTCTCTCGAATAGGCCTTGGCAGCTCTGCCTGGGTTCCTCCCCGGTCCCTGCATATTAAAAACAAAGTCCCTCCCTCTCTCTCTCTTTTTTGAAACCTGACTGGACATTTGATAATATTAAGTACTTAGTATGAATTCATTTTCTGTTGTGATGGTAGCATTTTGGTTAGGCTTAAAAGGGGTCCCCTTGAAAAAAAAGGGGGATCCTCTTTTAGAAAGACTTCACAATATTTATGAATAAAATAACATGAGATCTGAAATGTCCTTCAAAATTCAGCATGAAAGAAATTAGTGAAAATATTCAACTTGAATTGATCATTATTGAATCTGCATGATGACTATATGGGAGTTCATCATATTATACTCTCTACTTTTACATGCGTTTGAAATTGTCCATAATAAAAAGATTTTAAAATAAATTTAAAATAAAATAAAATAAAATAAAAATAAAGTCCCACTGCCAAGCCTGGACCCAGCTGCTGCTAGAAGAGCCGGACACTGCGGACCTTCCGACCCAGCTGCTGCTAGAAGAGCCGGACACTGCGGACCTTCCAGCCAGAGCTCACAAGCAGAGGGACTTAAGCTGATTTCGCCCCCGATCCTCGAATGACGGGGAGCTGACAGGAAATGATTCCATTGTAGAAGCTCGGGCGCTGTCCCGTGCTAACAGAAAACTCACCAGACATCCTGATGAATATGCGCTGGGGGGAGAAAGAGATCAGGCTTTCACCCGTATGGCGCTCTGTGGACCCATTTTTCAAGGACCTAATATAGGTTCCAATTGAGCAGCTAAATGGCTTACAACAGCTCAGGTTATTAGCATTTGTCACTGTAAAATGTGGGAAGGGAGGTTTAGGGAGAAACTTGAGGATTCTTCTGTTACCTGAAAATTTGCTCTTACAGTCACAATCAACTTCAACCAGGCAGGAAACTTTGAAATAATTTTGGAAATAAACGAAGACAGTGTATCTCCATAATCAGGCTTATGAAACTCCGCTTCGTTTAAGCCATCTATCAGAATAATGTACTCTTCTTCTGGAATTTTCTGCTCTGTAGGAGAAAATAATTTCTTCTTTCAATTAAGAAATTACACATTTCTATAAGATGACACCACATCGTGTATTTTAATGCACAACGTAAAGTGTCAGGCAAAACGAAAAAAGTTTACATATGGCAGAAGAAATGCTGTTCACAGAAGCACATTTTCTATTAAATTTATAATGAAAACTGGCGCACTGAGCCAAAAGAAAACCAATTCTCACAAACCAGTTCTCGGAAACATATTGCACTGCACACATTAGCAGAATCTAATGTGTGGATGCAGTAGTGTTACGGTTTCCCTCCCTACTGCCAGCCGAGTGAGCTCCAGGGAAGATCGCTCACTCGCACACAGACCAAAGCTGGACGGCACGCTGGGCACCCCCATGACAACTCCAGGTAGGGAGAAGCGAAGGCGGAAAGACTGCGTGCTGCAGCTCCCCCACTACGCTCTTCTCACAAGCCCCAGTCCCATCTTCTGCTTACTCATGCTAGCTTTCGGCCCAGGTGACTAAGAAGTGCTAACACATCTGCTTCCACCCCCTCCTCCTCTAACTGCCTTCTGGCAGGTAAACGGGACCAGAGATGAGACCGAGCAGGAGAGCAAGAGACAAGCAAACAGGGCCCAGAAGGTGAGCAGCGCGCCTTGTCTTATAGAACACGCAGGGCCCGTTCAAACGGAGAGAAGCCCCGAGAGCTGGCTTTAGGTTAAACTCAACAGGCTTTGAGCAGGGGCCTACAATATATATAGGGTAGCAATTTCTCCCAGCCAATCAATCTTTACTCATCATCTAAAACCAAGCGCACTGCCATCACGTCAATTCTGACTCACAGCCACCTGTAAGGACAGGGTAGAACTGCCCCTTTGGGTCTCAGAGGCGGTCAGTCTTCAAGGGAGCAGAAAGCCTCACGTCTCTCCCATGGGATGGCTGGTCGGTTCCAACTGCTCACCTGGTGGATGGTTAACAGCCTAACAAGTAAGTAACGACTATGTGCCACCAGGAGCGAAAAATACACAGGCAAGAGCCTTTCAGGGTGCCGTTCACTTAAAGAATCTACAGTGGCGCCCTAGCTCCCTGGGAATGCCCAGAGACACTGCAGAGAAGGAGCGCTGATTCACACACATCCTCTGTCTGGCCCCGCCCCTCACTTCTGCTCCAGCCCTAAACAGAACCTGTGGGGCATTCTGGGTGCTGCGAATGGGGAGGCTTTGGGGCTTCACGGAGGTACCGTGTCTCAGGGTGGTGAGCGGCTCCAGTACGCCCCTCTTGAAGGCTGCCACGGGGTCCTGCACACAGGACCGCAGGCTCAGCATGCTCTGCAGCGGGGGCTCCTTGATCAGCAGGTCTCGGTAGGCCCCCAGCTGATGGGACCGGCAGAGGAGGGCTGCGACGCTGTGCACAAACTCGGGCACCAGGCAGGTGTACGTGTTGTCCGCCTGGCAGTAGTGGTAGGCCACGACCTGGGAGGAAGCAGAGCTGTCAGCGCCGCCAGCCACCCTCTGCTCCGAAAGGAGATCACAAGATGGCTTGGACTCCACTCCCCAGGACTGGGTCACCACCACTGAAGTGACTCATCTCTGCCTGCATGCACCTGGTTGATGAAGGTGTAGCAGACCTTTAACGGCCAGCTCCCCACTCCCCTCCACAACCACCCACAATCGGTCTCGGTTGGAACCAGGGTCAGCAGAGGTTACTCTGTATGGAAGATCATTGAACGGAGTCCTTCATAAAACCTGCAGCCGAAGCTCGCTAAAAGCAATGCCAGGCAATCTCGGAGTTCTCGACATCAAAAAATGCCCCGGCTGCTCACCACCTGGCTGTCTTCAAAAATAGGAGCACCTCTGGGAGAAGCCCCTTTGCTGCTCCCCACACAGCAGATTAAAAAGCTGGTGGCTCTGAATCCCAGCTGTAAATTCACAGTGGGGGGTGGGCAGCCAGCTAGGTTCCAGCCCTCAGCCCCTTCACCACACCCATACTTCTTCAGGGGTCACTCATCGGATGCTCCGTGAAGGGCGGGGGGTGGCACTGTCTGGTGTATGACCATGAGAAATACCATTTTCCTGCTGTTAACAAGACGAAGCGCCTAGCCGACAGGTACCTTCCCAGTTACTGAGAGGAGGGGGAGTGTCCTGGCTGTCACATGGGCCAAGGACAGTGGCAGATAGGGAATGATCTCAGGAGCTCACTGCATATAGAACGGTAAGCTTGCCCCTTTCCCAAATGAGGGCAAGAGGAGGAAGATATAAAGATGAATAGGGTTTTCTTTGAAGTTGTCACACGACTCCGGCTTTAGGTTCGGCCCCTCCCCGACACTCGGAGGAGAGCTGTCTGCTCTTCCGTTCTCTCCTGGACAGAGACGAGCAGAAGTTCAGATGCATGAGCGAGCTTGCACCAACCACCTCATGGCTGCGTCCACAAGACCCAGGGCCACGGTCCAGCATGGTGCTCACAAAGCACACCTGGCAAGCTCACGAGTGAGTCACGAACTCACAACAGTGTATGGACACAGATGGTTGTGTAGCGAAGAGAGTTTAAAAATACATTAAAAAGAAAAAAGAAGGCAAAATACAAGAGTACATTCGTTAGGAAAGGGCTCCTTGGTGGTGATGGGGCTTAGGCCCCATCGCATCAGCTCCAAGCCACAGCGACCTGACGGACCACAGAAAGAAACGCTGCCCGGTGCAGCGCCATCCGCTCCACGGTGGCAAGGCTTGAGCCCGTTGGTGCAGCTACTGTGTCGCGCCATCTCCCCGCGTGGTTCATGCGCTTAACCGCTAGCTAACCAAGAGGCTGGCGTCTGGCAAGTCTACCCGAGGGCTGAGGACAGGCCTGGGGATTGTCTCCAGGACAACCAGTCATGGAAAACCGTGTGGAATATAGGTCTTTCTGCACTGGAAGCTGCCTCGAGTTAGCGCCCACGCCACCGCAAGGGCTTGGTAACACAACGGGCGTGCGTATCGTTTCAGAACGTCTGGCTTCTAATGAAGGAAGACACTGAGCGGAAGGGGACGTCAGAAGGACTTCCATGACCATGATTTTAGGAGGAGAAACTCAGCCACATCTCTTCTACAACATCGCAAGAAACCTCTGACTGAAGACATGGGGGCTCAAGAGGCCCAGGCAACAGCCTCGGGTGGGAGAAGTCTGGGTCAAGTTAAACGCTCCTAAACTTGGCGCTGTCACAGCACATCCAGAACACGTGCATTCACGTGGACGGGCCTGTGGCTGACGCCTGTGGCACCTATGGCTGCTCGGAGGAGCTCTTTCCACCCACTGTGGGAGGCAAATAGCATCTCCGTGGTTTTCACGAGCACCTTTCATTTGAAGGACGCTCACAATTTGACCAAATGCTGTACCTCTGTTTCCAGCAGCTGTTGTTCAGGGCGTTTTTTTTGTGTTTTGTTTTGTTTTGTTTTTAATTCTCACAAACCAAACTAGCACATGTCCATCTGTCTGTCTCGTTGGAAGGTCCCCCACCCCACCCCCATGCAGAAAGTAAATCCATGATAAAGTAAAAAAAACAAACAAAACCCCAAACCGAAAAAGTTGATCCCAATTTCCAGTGACCCCACAGAGGAAAACGGCTCCTCGGGTTTCCGAGGCTATAAATCCTTAAAGGGGCCTCCTCTCCCCCAACCTCCCGGTTACCTTTGAAGCCAGGTACTTCACCGAGTCTTCTCCTGGTCTCTGGGTTTCAGGAGAGCCAGCCCCGGACCCAGAGGGCGTCTTGGCAGGGTGGGTCCCGCTCGCCGGTGAGAGCAGTGGGGTGAAAGGAAGATCGTGGGGGGAATCTGCAGCTGTCGGGAAGAGAGACCAGCCTTAGCGTTTGACCACAGCAGAGGGAAGGGAGGGCCGGAGGGGAGTGGAATCTATGTATGTCTCCATCCGTCCCAGCAAGGATTTCAACCCAACATGAGCATAGATAGCAGAGACCTCGAAAGGTCCACGTGGGGACACCAGCCTCCTGCCCTCTCTGGACAGCCACCGCCCCCATATTCCTTTATTCAATACTTAAAAATAAATATTAATCATTGATTGCCTTTCTTGGTGGTTACTGAACAATGTGCACCGCAGGGCGTGCATCGATTTAATCTCCGCACGTGCACTCCAAAGACATCGAAGACTTGCCTCACGCTCCTCTTCCGAATCACTCTTCCCCCTTTCACCAACTTACTGGCCCTCACGCTTCCGCTACCCCTTCACGTGGCTGTTGTCGATCTGATCCCACGCAGACAGGTACGAACCCGTCTCTCCTCGGCCGCTGAAGCAGGGGAAAACGAAACCCACTGCCATCGAGCCCTGCCGATGCCGACTCAGAGGGCCCGGCAGGACGGGGTAGAACTGGCTGTGTGGGTTTCTGAGATTGTGACTCTCTACGGGAGTAGAAAGCCTCATCTTCCTCCCAAGGAGCCCCTGCTGGTTTTGAAACGCTGACCTTGTGGCTAGCAGCCGCTGCATCATCACTACCACAGTCACTCTTAAAGGAGATGTGGAGTTGAGCCGGCAGCCAGGGCAGGGAGCGAGGGTGAAGGGGGTGAGGCACTTGCTCGAGGCAGAAAATATTAAGGAAATCCTGAGTTGATTATACAATTCTGTTATTAAGACGGGTCATCTTTTAATGTCATATTTATTTTTAAAAAATCAAAATCCCTGCTCAAAAAGTTAAACACAGAATCATCATACAATCCAACCACTGCCCTCCTAGGTAGGCAAGGGGGACCCCAAAATGTGTTTGGGGAAAACATCCCATTTTTAAAAACCCAACCTTTCCAAGCCGTTTTCATATACTCCAAAGACTGGCGTATACCCCAAACGGATGCAGAAAGACACTTTGTGTACCAATGTTCACGACAGCGGCATTCACAATCGCCCTAAGGTGGAAACAACCCAAATGTCCACCACCTGAAGGCCGGGTAAGAGGTACACACCCAAACCTCATGCCGAGTGACTTGAAAGATCCCACTCACAGGCAGCATCTAGAGCAGGTGAAGGCAGACGCACGTTTACCAGTGGTTACGGCGGTGGGACAGGAGGCCACTGCGGAGGAAGCACCGAGCTCCGGCAAGAGCGATGAAGAGTTTGGAAACAGGTAGTGATGATGGTGGTTGCCCAAATGATGAGCATACTGTCACTGAATTATACTGGTAAACAAGGTTGACGTGGCAAATGTTTTCTATATATATTAGCTTAATTAAAAAACAAATCACTGCAGAAAAATCCCCGAGGAATAAAAATGTCCACATTTTAAATAAAGGCAGGCATGAGAAGGATGGGGCAGGGGGCAGGGTCAGAGCTATCGCAGACCAACATCTTCAGCCGGAAGCTCTTGACGTCTGAAAGACAAAGTTCTCCCAGTGCCAGGTTCTGGCTTTCGGATGAAGACCTGGAATCTTTATTTTTACTAGAATAATACTCCAGCTTCCTGGGAAATCTATAAAAGAAAAACTCTTCCAATAACGCCACCCCACCCCTCAGCAATCTATGTTCAGTTGGCCAAACTTCATTTCAGACCATCACCTCGAACGTGTGTATTCAAATCTGTGGCGTCGTGGAGCCAACAGAATTTTATTTGGGGCGTTTCTATTTAACACTCTATTAGGAGCGGTCCTCTGGTGCACCACGGTCTTCCTATCGCACCTGCTGGTGGCTACATAACAGTCCGTCCGATTGTAGTGCCAAGGAATTTACCGCACAGATCGGGGCAGTAGAAAGAGTAGGTTCAGTCCATAGTTCCAGGCATGAGTATGAACACTTTTATTTTTTTTAAACTTTTTATGGTGCACTGAGTGAAGGTTTACAGAGCAGATGGGTTTTCCATTCAACAATTTCTACACATTCTGTTTCATGTCCTTGACTGCAATCTCCACATCATCCTACTACTTCTCCCACTTCTTCCCCATTTCTTTCCTCCTGCTTTCCCAGACAGATACTTCTATTAAAATGAAAGCAGAAAACCTTGCAAGGATCACTTGCAATCATTCGCCATGTTCAAAGGCAGTCGGTTTTAATGGACTTAATGCATGAAATAGTCATCAAACATCGGCTACTCCATCTCCTAAGTTCGCCTCCATGCCTCTCTGATAAACTCGGCAGAGAACACACAAAGCATTCAGGGACAGGCTACTAAAGAGGTCTGCATGGGTTTCCGTTTGGCTTGCTCTACCAGGGTACCCAAACCCTTGGGGTTCTTGGGGACCCAAAGCTCACCAGGACACTTGACCGTATCTCACTGTCCCATCTCTGCCTCACCACTGTTCCCACTGCCCCTAGATGATAGCTAGATGTGTGTATGCTATAAAGATGTGATGCTCTCCCCACCCCCC